TTGCAAATTTGTTAAAAGTTTGTTTATTAAATAATGATCATTGTATAAAGTATACTATAAAAAAAACTATAATTAAGTTTTCCTTAATTAAAAAAAAAAATCACTTTTTTATAAATTATTTTTCTATCGGTTAGACTCTATCATACTTTTCAACACTTAGCAGAATTGCGATCTGCTACTGATTACACTGATTCAACGTGCATGATTTATTGTGATGTATGCTACTCTTGCAAGTATAGACGTCGGTTGTACCACTTTATTTTATAAATGTTGAAAGCGCCATCTTTATATGAAACAATATGTTAATGGCTTTTTGCTTTCTCTGCGTGTTGTGTTTCACTCTTAGCCATATAAATTTATGATTTTTTTCTTCTTCTTTGTAGCAGGTGTAACTACAGTATTTTTTATTAATTCGACAAGTGGAGTCTGTACAACATTGATACTACCAATTAATGATACTCTAAAGTTTTAGAATTAAATAAAAATTTGGACAATTTTTTTAGTGTAGCTAATGATAATCAATATAGTTGTATTGTCATTCAATTTCTTATCATCAAATATCATAAGAGACATTTATCAATTACGATGGTAAATGATTTTAAGGGCTAATAAATTTTAATTTGAGTAAACTCTTTTTTGGTGAATAAATTTTAAATGGACATAATAACATTTATGTCTAAGATAAAATGACATTATTTGAACTAAAATAGTAGATGGATACAATTTTAAAATTTGTTTTTAAAATTTAGTGTGTACATCTTAAATCTTTAATATATATTAAAGAAAAACAATATGTAAATTTGGTGTTTACTTATTTTGTCTATACATTTCATATTCTCATAATTTTTTCTTAATTAATATATACAAATAAAAAATGAAAGATGATACAGAAATTATATCATTAAAAAAATGATAGTTTTGTATAAAAAAATAAGACATAGATATTATTATAATAAAAAGAGTACATCAAATATATTAATCAATTTCATAGTATCATATTAAAAATGAATATTATATTATTTAGCTCAAGTATGGTCCACGATTCAACACATTGCAAAATACTAATATATGCAATGACTAATTGGTGGTGGGTATTTTTAGTCAAAAAATAAATAAATTGGTGGTGGGTATTTGTTATTAGATTGGGTTCACAAAGTATTGATATATTCCTTTCTATCCAAATTATAAAGTTTTGACCATTTCACTTAATTTTAAAAATGTAATTATTATTTTATAGAAAATTGAAATAATTTATGATTTTATAAAATTGTTTTTCATTAATTATATTAAAAACAGATATAAAAAATAAGATAAAAAAAGAAAAATAAATAATAAATAATATATTATATTATAATAATATTATAAAGTAACTTATAATTTAGAACAAATATTTTTTACGAAATAATTTATAATTCAAGACAGAGATAATATCATTTAATGTTAGATTTCCCTTTTTCATTTTTTTGGGTACCAATTTTTTATTATGTCACTTCAATCATCATTAGTTTCTTCTCAATTTTTTCTGTCAACTATTTTTTCAAATTCAAATTTTCCCCTTTTATTCATTTACTTCAAATGTATTATTATATCTTTTTTCTTATTATTTTTAAGTTATGTTCTTTCCTATAGTGCGATTACAACTTTTCAGAAAAAAACTTGAATATACTTAATAAAATTTAGAAAGTTGTTTCAAAAAATTAATTAAAAGAATTTTGTTTTAATTAAAATAATTGTATTATTATGCTACAATTGTTTTGAAAAATAGTTGTAGCATGTTTATACAAGTATTATGGTGCACCACTAGTAGGGTTGAAAATGAGTCGAGTCGAACTCACCTCAGCTCGGCTCGACTCGTTAAAAATTGTTCGAGTTCGAGTTTGACACAAACTTCTTTTTAAGTTCGAACTCGATTCGTTATAAGTTCACGAACAGTTCGGTTCAACTCGTTAAGTTCATCTCATTAGGTTCATCTCACATGATTCACGGACTTAAAAACTATTTTTATAAATATATATATTTTTTAGTATATTTGACATTTTAAATAAATATATTTTATTAAAATAAAATAAAAGTTATCATATTGAAATTTAACTTTATATTCGAAATCTACTAATTCAAAACCTACACAACTTTCAAGAGATACATTTGAGAGTTTAATTCAAAAACTACTAAATTGAAGATTAAATTTGTCTAAGATTTGGAGTAAATATTCAAACTTAATCTTAAATACAGTATAATTTTTCTCATATGTAATCGAGTTGACTCATGAACCTAACGAGTCGACCTATGTATAGTTCATGTTCAGCTCATTTAGTTAACGCACTTAATTTTTCGCTCATACTCAACTCATTTGGTTCATGAACCTAGTTCAACGATTTAATTGTCGAATCGAATTCCGAACTATTTTCGAGTTGGTTCGGTTCATTGTCAGCCCTAACCGCTAGGAAGCTTTAGCATAGGATTATAAATTACATAAATGTTATTTTTATCTAACACAAATGTCATCTTGCATGAATAGTAATAAATAAATAAATAGACTTCAAAAATTAGTATATCACATTGGAAAATTTTACATCATACTCCTATAATTATATTCATATCCTTACACTAAAAAATTTTGGAGCAAAATATCCTCGTATAAATAGTTATAATTTTAGAAATTTTACTTTCCCATTTCATTTGCATTTGAAAACTTCCGGAACAACCATTTTTCACCTACAAACCGAAACTCTTAGCCAAAGTCTTCCGGAACTACATTTTTCACCTACATATACCGGAACTCTAATAGTAAGTCTTCCGGTTTTATGTTTTTTTTCGTTTGTTTACCGGAAGACTTTAAGTATGTCTTCCGGTTCATATTTTTTTTGTTTGTTTACCGGAAGACTTTAAGTATGTCTTCTAGTTCATATATTTTTCGTTTGTTCACCGGAACTATTTTTGCAAGTCTTCCGTTCATTTTTTTTAATTTTTATTTTTTTTTGCAGTGGTGCGCACACGAGGCAGAGACGGTAGGATCCCTTCTCACGGACTAGGATGGGGCAAGTCATCGAGAATGGCTGAAGAAAAGAATGTTGATGCATCTACGTCGGCAACCGAGCCTGTTGGATATCCAGGAGGACCGTCCGATACCTCTCTTTTAGTTAAGTACGAACATCAAATTGCTAGATATATATGGTTCAGTGAAGTAAGTAAACGAAAATTATTTAATATTGAATAAAATTCGAATTTTTAATGTTGAATTTTATAATATATTTACTTTTAATTATTTTCAGGAGAGAGGTTCGAAGAAAGAGTTAAAGGTAGTAAGGCATGGGTTGAAGTTGATTCAGAGGGTTCCACTACAGCTACCAAGAGAGATGGAGGGTTGGATATCTAGGTCTGGTCTAACTCCACTCTAGAGAACCAGTTTGACAAAGATAGACACGAACCTGGTTTCCGCATTTGCAGAGAGATGGCATCTAGAGACATCTTCATTTCACATGTCCTTTGGTGAGATGACGATTACTTTAGATGACGTCTCTTGCCTGCTTCACTTGCCTATCAGGGGAGTCTTCTGGAGCCCTCAAGATATCAGTGAAGCGCTTGCTGTTGAGTGGGCTATTGATTACTTAGGAGTGTCATAGAGAGTAGCACAACAACAAGTCTGTGACTGCAGGAGTTCCTACTATAAGTTGGAGTGGTTATATGATCGATTTGTAGAGCATAAAGCTGCTTCTAGATGGGATTATGCGACTAGAGCTTATTTGTTGATGTTAGTGGGTTCCACTATTTTTGCGGACAAGACGTTTACGCTTGTCGAGGCATGATACCTCTCACTATTTATACACTTGGATGGCTTATCAGGATACAGTTGGGGAGCAGCTGCGTTGGTTACCCTTTATAGATATCTCAGAGATGCTTCCATGTTCAGTTGTAAGCAGCTTGGTGGTTATTCGACTCTCTTACAGGTATTTATTTTAATTTAGTATATTATATTTTAATTAATTTTATTTAGTATATTAATTTTATTTATCTAGTTTATTATGTTATAATTAATTATTTTAAATTTAGTAACAATATTAATTTTGTAACAGTGTTGGATTCATGAGTATTTTCCAACACTTGGAAAAAAAGGAGTGAATTGGATACCAGCTAATAATGTGGGTCTCCCTCGAGCGATGAGACGGTCCTATAGGCAAGGTGTCCTGAAGGTGGATGACTTGCGACCTATTCTGGACGAGCTGACACCTGCCGATGTCATATGGCGCCCATTCGAGAATCATAGAGTATGGCGTCAGTTTGATGAGTTATGTCTATATAGGGGGTGTCTGAGGTGGGGTGACACTATTGTTCCATACTTGCCTGACAGATGTATGCGTCGGTTTGGATACAGACAGTATGTTCCACATCCACCTCTTGATCATACAATGGCTGGTTATATTGACGTTGACTGGATTAGTTACCATCAGAGCGTTCAGGATGTGATTCGTCCGACAACACCGACCACCACCCCATATGAGACAAATGATGGATATCTTCAGTGGTATTATCGTGTTTCGCATCCTCGTCCGGTACCACCCCATTGTGATGCGCCAATAGAGGTGTCAGTTTCTGTTTATGAAGAAGGACCATCTGATCCTAGCTGGGCTCGTGTGTCTTCATTGATTCATCGTTATCTTCAATAGGCTGGTGCTGAAGAGGATGATCCACAATTTGCTGAGTTGTTCGAAGCTTTACATATTGCTCGATCACATTAACTTATATTTATATTTATGGTTATGTGTTAACTTTTAGACGTGTTGACTTATATTTATGGTTATGTGTTAACTTTTAGACTCATTTGACCTAGTTGGTTTAGGTTTATGTGTTAACTTGAAGCGTGAAATTAAAAATGAATAACATAATTCATGACTCATGTTTTGAAATTAAAAATGAATAACATAATTCATGATTCATATTTTGAAATTAAAAGTGAATAACATAATTTATAATTCATAATGCGTTGGTAATATAAGCGTAAGTTATTGCCAATGTTGTAGACATCCTGCAAATCCTAGCATCCAAAATGTTGTTGTTGGAGAACGAAACTTCTTCCAATCTATTGTCACTGGTGGCAATGGAAACCCTTCTTTCATGTTTACCTAAATAAAAAAATAATCAAAATATTAAGTAAAAATAACGAAAAAGAATTAGGTTTAATCGCATTATCTAAAAATAACTAAGTACCTGAACCCAATGATTTCTATTTACAAAACCAATGCAGTAAAATGCTACATTTGGTGAAAATGAAGTTGTCATATGGAAGAAAGTTCAGCATTCAAATCCTAAACAGACAAGTACAACATTATAACGATTCGCTATCACGTAACCCATATCTGGTAGAGTTAACCATTTATGTGGTGGTTGAGGACCAAATTCCTCAATCATCAAAGATTCTCTCACTACTGCTAACTGATCAGTAAATAAATTGGCATACAAACTTGATTTTTCATTATGTATTATTTCCAACCCCAAGTCTCGACGAACCATTGGCCAACCATCTTCACCATATCCATGCAATGAATCAATGACTCTAAATCCACAATTACCATCTGATACAACATTAACTACATCATCAATATATGACCTGATATGATTAGGAAACTGAAGGATGAACTGCTTAGATGACTGTGAAGATTGTGATAATTTTAACTTCTTCGAAGCCTGTGATGGTTGAGATTTCTTTTGTGAAGATTGTGATAATTTCAACTTCATCGAAGTCTGTGATGGTTGAGATTTCCTTTGTGAAGATTGAGATGCTTGATCAACATACTCATGATACGAAGGGTCTCTATAAACATCATGCCCTACTGGTTTTTTGCCTTTCTTCTTGACTCCCCCTTTAGTTTTTTTTCTCAGGTGGTGGACACATAGGAGTCATTGTGGGGAAGGCAAGTTCAAAAACCCTACTTTTTAATGCCCTTTTCCCAACAACATCTAGTGACTTAAACCCTTTCCATAACTCATCTATCGCACTACTCATATCCACCTCTGATCCATCATCTACGTCTTCGTCCAACTTAACTTCCATGCTTAGTTTTCTCCAATGAACATGCACAACATCTATTGGTATCGGTATACCATTAATTCCATATCCTGTCAACTCACAAGCACAAGGTAATCTGTAGGTTGTTCTAAGAGTACAACGACATATTTCCTTATTAATTCCAACATAATCAACTCGTTTTAACTCTTCAGCAATGCGTCTCAGTGCATCTCGAGACACTAAACCACATAAATTATTGTAAAATGGACTTACGTGGGCATGCTCAACTTCATAAAAACTCTTTTGAAAGGAAGCTCTAATATTGCCCAGTTGTAACTTTAAGTTATCATTCATAGCCTCCCAACATTTGACCATGTCACCAATACTGTTTCCCAACATTTGCTTTAACTTCCAATGAGCAGAATCAACCCTAAAATTAATACATATTAAAAATATTTTTAAAAAATACAAAAAGATATACAATTTAGAAATACTAAAAATAAATACATACCGATTAGACGTGGTGTTACCCAAATGTAGCACTCGACTAATCCATGCTCCAACAAATCTTTGTCTATGTGGTATCAACCATTTGTCCTTCACATAATCAATAAATTCATTACAATCAACACACGCCTGCTCAAGTTGGTTCAACCTTTGATCATACTCAACCTCATCACTAGCCCATACAACATTCTTCCATAATTCGTCAATTTTCTTTTGCATGTTACTAGCCACATATTGTTTCCGTTTTGCACCAACATTCTTGTTAATATGAAATCGACATAGCAAATTGATCGACCTTGGAAACACAATTTCAATGGCTTTCATCAAAACAAGATCTCTATCTATCAAAATCACTTGTGGACACAAATCTTTCTTCACAAACAATTGTTTAAGCTTATCTAGCACCCAACAAAAAGTCTCAGTCTGCTCAGACTCAATATACGCAAATGCGACAGCAAAAGTCAACTCGGTTGATGTCATGCCAACAATTTCAAACAGAGGTTGCCTATATTTGTTTCTCTTGTAAGTGTTGTCCATAACTAACACAATAGGAAAAATATTCAACAACTTAACTGAATTTGGATGAGCCCAAAATATATCTCTAATAACTTCAGAGTCATCTCTTTTTCTACTCCAATAAACATAACCTGCATCCTCAATAAGCTTAAACAAATGTTGTATCTCACTTCTAGGACCTCTTATATTTTTTTCTATCATACTCTTCTGCTTGTATATTTGCGTGATCCGAGTGACATTATCTGGATCTTGCTCTTGCAATGAAAGCAATATATGTCTAGGTGGAACCTTTCTCTTTATCAAATCAACAACATGTTACTTCTGATCCGCTGTCAACCTACCAACAAATGTGTGACCTTCTAATCTATCAGGTAAACCATGGTTATGAACTCCATGTTTTACATCAATCTTCCATCCAGATCCATCAGTCGCTGGAATTGACCTGATTCTAAATGGACATCCACATTTTTTTGTCGCACTCTAGGTTCCACTATCAATATCTTAGTGTTTTCCACCTTTATCACATCTAAATATTAATTTGTTACTTCTTTCTCTCTTGCCTGTTTCAATATCCGAACGAGTGATGATAACCGTTACTTTATTTCGGATTCCGATCTCTTTAATCCATCTTATCACCTCTTCTCGTGTACCAAATCTTTGAGTAGTTGAAAAACATCAGACGTATCTACACATACCTGATCTTTATCGCATATTTGTAAAGGAATTTCTGTACATGCATAAAAAAAATTAAAAAAAAATTTACAAAAGAAAACCGGAAGACTCAGGAAAAGAGTTCCGGTAAACAATAATAACAAACCGAAAGACTTGTAAAAAGTGTTCTGGTACACTTTTCCTTCATACCAGAACTCTTAAGACAAGTCTTTCGGAAGATTTCTACGTAAAATTAAAACCGAAAGACTTTGTTTAACTCTTCCGGTATATATTTTGTATAAACCGAAACTCTTAGTCAAAGTCTTCCTGTTTGGCAAAAACAATATACTGGAAGTCATTTTAACAGTGTTCCGAACGACTTGATGGGTGAATTTTTCGGAACTCTGAAAATCTGACAGGATAGTAAAAAGTAAAAAAAAAATACAAAATAAACAGGGATAAAATTGGTATATTTTTAAAAATATAGGGGTATGGGTATAATTGTAGGGGCATGGAGTAAAATTTCCATCACATTGTCATAGCGGTACAATTTTAATATAGATTTTGCAGTATTCTATTCCTATATTCAGATCCATTGTCCCATACTTTCCACTTGTCACATCATCGTATTAATTAAATTCACATTTTATCTTCAGCCAATCACTCATATTAACTATATTAATATACTTATAATATTGTTGTTTCTATAATATTGTGGACGCGTGATTTGGTCCCTTCTTTTGAAGTGAGGTCGCTATTTTTTATCTACATGTAAACTTTTAATTTATCCTAGGAGAGAGAAGGGAAAAAATCTAAATAAATTCGTGAGTGCGTGCAATGCAATGCACTAAGAGATTTGAAATTCGGGATTGATTATACTAAGGAAAGGTATTAGCACCCTAAGTATCTATAGTATTCTATAGGAACTTATTGCATATATTTGTGCTTATTGTTGATAAAGTCATTTGCTGTGTATTGAGGATTAGTTGACTGTTTTGAGTGAATGATAGGAGATGTTTTTATTGTTTTTATGGTGTAATTTGAAATGGTTTAAGATAAAGGTAAAGAAACCTAAGGATTTTATTTATTAGTATGCTCACTAAGATCTCGCAATCTTATGCCTACGTATTCTCAAAAGGAAGTTGAGAAATCAGAATGTTCGTAGTTCCACCTACTAATTGGTGGATTTGGGGTTTGTTGGGTTTGAGAGAAGATACAAATTGTCATATTAAGGGAGATATCTCACTTATTTACCACAAACATTCTGAAAAAGTAATAAGGGAAGAAGTTTTAAACATGGATGTAGAAAATCCAGAGTAATATCACATCTTCCTTTGATTGAGTCTTTGCATATTAAGAGAGAGACCTTGACTTGAATATAAAATCAACAAGTGTGCCACTTACATCATTTAAATCAAAGAAGTGTTTTTGTATCATAATAAGATAGGGACTCCAACTTGGATTTTGAATCAAAAAGAGTGCCACTTACATCCCTTAAATGAAAAATGTTTGTTTTATGTTATGAAAAATAGAAGAGACATCTCTTCCATAGAGACGACTTATGTCTCATCTCTGGCAAAGTGTTTTGAGTTTGAAGCTAAAGAGGTTGGCTAGGGTTTGACTTGAAGTTTAAAGGTTTGAAGCCACAAGGGGTAGTGTGTTAACTTTAGGACTTCAAAGGGGAACTCTCATCTCTTTGTTAAAGAGTTTTGAGTTTGAAGTCTAACTTCCTTGTATAAAACCCAAGAGAAGGATAGTATTTAAGGTCTCCTTGTACTAAGCCTAAGAGGGGGCTAGTGTTTGAGGTCGTATTTTCAATAGGAGAGACCTAATGTTTGAACTAGGTTGTAGTTGAAGGGAATCCTAATGTTTTTGTGTTATAAACATAAAGGAAAAAACTAAAAGGTTGCTCACTAGGATATCACAATCATATGCCTACATATCCTTAAGAGGAAATCAGAGTAATTGTAGTTCAAACTAGCGCCCGGAATATAAATGTCAAGAGAAACTTAACAAGACAAGCTTTCACTCCTTTGAGAATTCAAGTTTTCACTCCTTTGAGACTTGAAAATTTCGGAAAGAGGAGGAATGAGAGAAAACAAGCTCTTGCAGTGTTTTGTGTACTTAGAATGAAGAATGAGGGCCTCTATTTATAGGAGAAATGTGTCTGATATTTTGAATTTGAAAGGATTTGGATGTAGGATAATATCCATCAAGTGATGCCATGTACCTATAACTTGAAAGCCAAGGCACACATGGGCTATTCTTCACATGGCTCTAGTTCTGATCTTTTGAGCTTGGTTCCTCATGGTTTCATCCCATCCCTTGATGCTATGATCATGTTCTAATAGATTGGAGGGTTTTTGCTCAAAATCATTATTCCACTTTAATGCTAGAGGACAAAACCTCACTTCATAGCTTTTGGAATGATTTTTTTACATGCCAAGTGATGAATCTTTGAAAATTCAGTTATGCTTTGTAGAGCACATGTTGTATAATCATTTTAGAGTTGATCTTGTGAATTTTTCAGGCTTGCAAATCTTATCCAAGTCGTGTGGCACAAAGAGGTTTATCAATTATGTCTTTAAAATTAGTTGTAGCAAGGCATGTTGTGAGATTCACATCTCCTTGCTCAAATTAGGTAAATGTGTGTTCTTGGTCATTTTGGAAAGTTGAGATATCATACTTCAACTTTGATTTTCAAAGTTTGTCTTGAGTCATTATGGATCATAGTAAAAAAATAGCCCTAAAGTTGGCTTAAACATAAGACAAATTATGTCTTAAAATTTCACTAAATGTTTTAAGTTTAAAAGCATGGAACCTCTAACTTCATGGCCTTATATCTCTCAATATATGCACTTCTTGAGATTTCACCCTCAAGGACAAAGTTGTAGTATGTAACAATCTCTTCAATTTGATCTTTTGATCAAAGAAAATGGTTACTTGGATTGGAAGTTATGGCCTTGGCAAGTTAGCACCAAATTAGGGTTTTCTCATAACTTAGAAATTTTTAATTTCTTCGTGGTTGCCCTTTTTGTAAGTAACCTCATATTTC